TTGACTTTTTTTTTTAAAGTCTATGTGTTTCTATTGAACTGCATCATTTTTTTCACTACTTTCCGATAAAAAAATCCTAAAAAAATCAGAAAATAATATAAAATAATACGTAAAAAAAAGGTTTGAATCTCATCTTGTAATATTAGAAACGTTCAAAAGATCAAAATTTGTGTTTTTCATTTTTTGAAGAAATTAAGGAGAGTTTCCTGTTTCAAACCGACAATTAAACTAAGGCTAATCACAAAAAAGGCAATGGGCTCTTCTTCTCCAGTAAAATGCGCAAAACTTCCAAAATATCCCTTTTTCATTGGAGCGCAGATGAAAAGGAAAAAAAGGCCGTCAAACATCTCTTCCTATCCAATGAATGAATGGCCCGTTTCGCACAGATACCCACGAATAGACTTATTCAGAAAAAATTGATGGATTGCAACTGGAAATACTCGAAATTCACGTTGGAGCGCATTTGAAGTTGTAACCTTTATAGGAATGACGTCATTATATGGCCAATTACTTCCAAATTGCTCAACTTTATTTTCTATTCAAATTAGCTCGAAACTAGGGAAACGAGACAAGCGGAAGGAACATTTTTAACAAACTTTTTTGAATATTCCAGACACCTTTTTTGGAAAAAAAAGAAAAATCTTGAATTGCTGCCAATTTGTGTTATGTGTTATGTATGTGAGTGTTCGCGAGATAAATTGGCTCGAATTATTTTTTTTATTTTTGAGGTCAAAAAATATTGTAACGGAAGTGGGGACATCTTTCTGAAGTCTAAATTAAAAAAAAGGATTTTTTTAGGGAAAATAAGGAATGAAAAATGAAAAAATCGAAAATGACAGGAAAAATTAATTGAAATTAAAAAATCCTATCGATTTTAATGCGAGAAATTGAGGTCAAAAAAAAAATTCAAAAATTCAAAAACTCGAAAAAATTAAGAGCAGGTTAAAGCTTCAAAAATCGCCCAAGAACGCAAATTTCAGCTCAAAAAAATGTAAAATGAAAAAAATGGGCTTTTTTAATGATTATAATGGTATGTATCCACTAAAAAAACAATTTCGAATTCCTAATTTTTTTAAATTTTTTTCTGATTTTTCCGTTTATCGATTTTTTTATGTGATTTGAATCATATGGGTTTGATAAAAAAATCCACCAATTTTTCATAATGTTTTTTTAAATAAGTTTCACGGTTTCAAATCAAAACAGACAATTTTTAAAGTGCGGTCGGTTAATTTTTCCTACGTTCTCAAATTTTTGTGTTTTAATACAATTTTTATCAAGAAATAGACACAATAATCGGAAGTTTATGGAGAAAAATGTGAAATTATTTTTTTTTACCTTCTTTCAAGTTACAGGTTTCTCAAGGGAATCAATTTTTTCTACATTTTAGCCAAAAAAACTCGTATCTTCCTAGATATTCACCTAATTTTCAAGCAAAAAAATAAAGAATATTATCGATTTTTTTCTCTAATAAGAGAAAAAGTAGCAATTCTAACTCATAGAAACAAAAAAAAAGACATTTTTCCCTCAAAATAAAGAAAAAGGCAATGAATCACCAACTTTTCAAGGCAATCAGGAAAAAAAGACCCGGCCCAATTAATTCCCGAAATTTTCCCAGGGGCCAATTCAAAACTGGAAGCTTCAAAGTGTGGGAAAAGGAAAGGAAAAAGTTAATTTTGGCAGCTTAAATCCGAAAAAATGGTTTTGATTTTTGAAATGAGGAAGCTGGGAGCTGGAAATGAAGTTTTTGTGGCAGCTGAAAAACGAGGAACCGAATTTGGGAAAAATAAATTGAAAATTGAAGTTTGTTTCATTGAAATAGTGGTTTTGGGACTGAATTTGTATATCATTTTTGGAAAATTACCTCAATTTTTGAATTAAAACAGATTACTGTTTCAGAGCGGTTATGAAAAAAAATTTTCTTTTAATTTTAATTTCCGAAACTGTCTTTCGAGATTTAAAAAACACTTATTTCCAAATGTTTGATAAGAATATTGAATGCGAAAAATCATTAATAGAGGTTTTTTTGAATTTTTTTCGAAATTTTTGGTTTGGAAGGCATTTTTTAACCACTTCAAGACCATTAAAAAAATAAAAAATGTAAAAATGAAAATTCCACTATGAATCAACAGAAATCTTTTCGAGCCAATTTTCAACCCTTTTTAATTCAAAAAAGTCCTCGAAACAACGACCAAACGAACCAAACGGCTCAAAATTCGCGGAGACTTTGAGGAAACGAACGTTTGAAGAGAAACAAAAAACGAAGAAGTTTTCGGACTGCTTCTTTATTCAAGTGAAGCCGCTGCAAAAGGCGGCAAGAATCGCTAAGCAATCACGGGATGTCCAGGAAGTCGCATGTCGGAAAGTTGCCCCTCAAGGGGTCACTTTCTGACTCATTCGTGATTATAAAATTGAATTCTGTTAGTGACAGCTATGTGTTACTCGGGTTGTTGTAGGGTGTTCCGCGCGGTTTTGAAAGAACAACAGAGAAAAAGCTACCGTAATCCAGCTTTTATTTTATACAAAGGTCTCGAAACGAAGTTTGGAATACGGTCTTATCCATTTTTGAACTTTTCAAATCGATAAATTTATCTTTTCCCCAACTAATCTCACTTTGAAGTCGGATAACACAGCAATAAACATTGTGAACTTTCAAAATTTTGAAAACTACATGTGAAAAAATTTCGAGTGACATTTTTGAAAGTGGTTTCGAAACTTAAAAACAACATTTTACAGGGGGAATGCCTCAAAAATGCAACCTGACACTTTCAAAAAAGTTCAAAAATTAAAAAGCAAAACTTTCAAGTGTCGCGTTGCAAATTTCACGAGAAAAAGAATTCAAATCCCAAAAAAAATCAATATAATGAGCTACAAAATCGAAAAAAAAACAGAAAGAATAAATATTCAGAGTAGTTACTCATCAAATCGTAAAAAACGACTGGAGATTGGGTTTGTAAAAAAAAAGGCGGGAGTGATGTCAAATACACTCACTCTCACATGGACCACAATCGCCTCTAACTAACCCGTCAAAGATTCTATCCGTTATTTGCAGAACTTTTTTTCAATCGGAGTAAAAACATGGAATTTTTTCGGCGTCTGGGGACGTCTGATGAGAAAATTTTGCAGAGAACTTGGTTTAGTTCAAAAAGTCAGACTAAAAAAGCAGAGATCTGAATTTTCGATGACCTCCATGATTTTTGAACTCAACAGAAAGTAGGAAGCACGGAAACAAAACTTTTCGAAAAAACTTTAAATTTTGAACAATGATTTTCTAAACAAATAAAAATAAAAAGCAGTTACTAAAGCTGAATTTTGTTCTAAAATGGATCAAATAATGTTCTCGTATAACAAAAAGAATAATAAATCAAAAAATAAAGGATAAAAACTAACAAAAACGAACAAAAAAAAGAAAAATTTCTGCGTAAATCTCATCTCTTCTGCTGACCGCGTCAAAGTCTCTGTCCGACGTTTGCCCTGCGCCTTTAATAAGGAATAATTTTAATCTATTTTTTTTTTGAATTTTTTCTTTCAGTTTCATTTCGTTAAGGTGCTACTACTCTCACATCTTCGACATGAAAGAAAGGTCAGCAATACTCTCTAATTATCTTCAAGTTCCCAAAATTTGATGGTATAGCTTCTTTTCCCTTATCGACCATCAATTCCGAACACGGCTTTCCCAAAACGACGTCATTATATCTTCCTGAAGCTTCATAATCTTTGTCACGTTTTAGAACCTGTCCGCTTAATATTGCGATGATCTTCTTGCCCAGATTGTTGATTTCTATTTTCGATACCCGCGTGACCGCAAACTGATGTTCCGATTGGAAAAACTCGTTTCGAAATTTGGATTACGGTACTTTGAAAGGATATTCAAATGCCTAATAATATAATTGAACTTTAAAAAAAATTTTAATCTCGGAAAAGAATCAAAAGTTCAATTGAGAAAATAATAATGCCACCAGGAACTCGTCACCCTTGTTTGCGCAGAAAATGCCACTTTCAGATTTATAAAATTGAGGAATTTTTTGGAGAGATTAGTCATAGAAATGCGCAGACGATGATCGTACGACAGAAATCAAAGTTGAAAGGGTTGAGAGACCAAAAGGAACAAGAAATTTGGCCGGAAACAGTTTTTTTTTCTCTTTTGTCTACAGTTCTCTTGCCATTTTCTCAGTTTTGATAGCTTTGTGCTGTTTGTCTGGAAGCTTCTAAATGTTGTCCTTACGGTGAAATCGTGCAAGCCAGATCTTAAAATATGTGATAAAAAACCCTAAAATTAAACAAGTAGTCCTGATTCCGAAGGATGAGGGAATTCTATTGTTTCATAATTTTTCTCTCCTTCAACTTTTGTCAAGAAACTTTTTCGTAGGCAGTTTCCGGAGATCTTTTGCAAGAAGCTTCATGGAATTTGTAATAATTAAAATTTGAGATCCTCCAGAAGACACAAAGAAACATAAAGAACCTAGTTTTTGAGAATGGACTTTTCAAAGTCAGAGAAAATCCTCAAAATCCGTAAAAATAGGTTATTTTGAGCCCTTTTTCTCAAAAACTCGGCAGTTTTGAAGGCTGAGGCTTCCAGGATTTTCATCTGGTTCATCAAGGAGTATTCTGGCCAACTTTCAGGGGAAACCCAATCGCAAAGTGTAATGACCCCCCTTGTAAGTTTAAAAAAATATTCCATCAAGTCACATATGTAACCATTTTTCATTTTCCCACTAGACTTCAAGATCCGAAATTGGCCGGAACTCCGAACTTTGGATATCATCATAGGTAATTTTGAAGCTTCGAGGCCAAATTTCTGGAAAACTAGAGAACTGTGCAGGTCAAGGAGTATTCTGGCCAAGGGGAACCCCTTCCGCGAAGTAAAATAGTCTTAAGACAGTCACATTTGAACCTTCCGAGTTGTCGATATTCATTTCCGCTCTCTTCTGAGATTCAATCCGACTTTGGCCTGCCCTGGGAAAGCTGAGAGCCGTACTGCTCCCACATGGAGTAGTAGCTGATCATCGGAACGCTCGAAACTCGTCCACAACTGTCGCAAGGAGGGCGAGCCGTTCTTGATCAACTACAGCTTCGAGAACCGCCATCAAGCTCTTCAAATGTTCCATGGCCCAGTAGAGATTGAATAAATGAAAGTTTCCACGGGGGTTGGGGAGGGTCATTTTGCGGCTGGGAATTTCCTGAAAAATTGGCCAGGACCCTTCTTAATGTACCAAATGAAGATTCTGAGAGTCTCAACCTGCAAAACGTCCTAATTTTCGAGAAATAAGGTCTCAAAGCCTCAAACTAGCCTATTTTATGGGTTTTGAGGCGTCTTTTCCGAAAAACAGGGAATTTTCGCAGGTTGAGACTTTCAAAATCTTCTTCTGGTACATCAAGGAGCGTTCTGGTCAACTTACAGGTAAATCCCAACCGCAAAGTAGGATGATCTTCCATAGTTTCCGGAGCGATTTTGCATGGAAACTTGTAGATTTTGTAACAATGAAAAGTGGAAAGGGACCAAGAAACAGCGTCTGACCGGTCAAAATCTGGGGCGTCAGTTATCACGCCCCCATGATTCAAACACACAGAGGGGGCCGCCGGAAGCGCCAGTCATACCACTGGATCAACGATTTATTAATTGGCAGAAGGGCCGCTTTTTCCGGTTGTTCTAGAAATATGTCCCTTCGTACTGTATGTTTTGTCTCTGAGTCTATTTAAGGCCCTCGGCAAGTTCGTTCCCTTTTCTTATGATTATCTGCAACTTTTTTTGGATCTGTGGCTATTTATACGATTTCCTCCTCCAACCAGGAAATTCCCCCGGTTGAGCTTCTGCTGAAACTTTGCTGAAGTGTATTTAAGGACCCCCTGATTCCAGAACAAAAAAGAAAATTTCTCGCAATGAATATTTTTTTCCGAGTTATGGAGCTTCAAAGTGTACAAAATACGCAAATCAGGCCAAAAAAGCGCTATTTCGGGCTTTTGAAGCTCCATAACTCGGAAAAAAGATCTATTGCGAGAATTTTTTTTTCTTTTCTGGAATCAAGGGGCCCTAAAAGTACACTTGAGCAAAGTTTCAGCAAAAATTTCAATCGGGGGTAATAAACGTTCCTTGATAAGGAAATTTTTTTACTTGTTTGTTTTTTTCAGTATAAATGATCTATTTTAACTTTTGAGAACCTGATAGTGAATAATTTTTTTTGAGCTTATCCTATTTTCATCATTTTTCCCTACAAGGAAGCTATCGATTTTTTGATTTTTTGATTTTCTGATCATTTTCCTTTTCTTTTCAATGAAAATGGTCCATTTGAACTCATGCAGATGTGAATATCAACAGTTTTTTTCTGGACCTTGCCATTTTATATGATTTTTCCCTACAAGGAAGTCTAAAAGACCTCAAAAGGGTCTTAAAAAGAAGGGTCTAGACTCTAGAGCTCATTTTGAGCTCCTAAAAAGTTTCTCTGAATCTCCTTTTTTCGCCTTTTTTTTCCTAAAAATGACTTTATTTTCCAACAGCTTCTTTTCAGGTTCTTCTGGAATTTTCCAGTTATACTTCATATTTTTTTCATTATACATTCAAGGCTTGATCCCCTAATGATCAGCCGATCACACAATTTTTTCTGAACTTTTTATTTATACGATTTTTCCTTGTAGCCAGTTCTGCAGAGATTTTCCATGGAAATCCTAATTTTTTGATTTTCCATTTTTTGAACTCGTGAAATTCTCCGAAGGTTCTTGTCGCTGAATTTCCCTTCTTTCTCAATTTTCAACATGAAACGATAAAAGTTGGATACTCAGTGTTCGAACACAACATGTTCTCGAACTTTTAGGCCTTTGAGCTATTTTTTAAAATATAAGTTGAACTGAATATTCTTGAATTTTAGGCCGTTGGGCCATTTGAAAAAAATTGGTTCTTAAAAAAATGTCAAGAAAAGGATTTTGGACGAGAAGCTGGAGCTGTTACTTTTTCAAAAAGCCTCATTTGTGAATTTTTTGAATCTTCTAGTGTTTTCTTAACTTTTAGCTCAGCCTTGAATAAACTGAAACTCTCAATATTTCATTTTTTTCAATTTTTTTGAATTCAGAAGGCTCTCAAATGTACCTTTTTTTCATGCAATTTTTTTCGACATTTTCCCATTTTTTTAACCTTGTTTCTTTGTTTCTTGTATGAAAAAAATCAAAACTGAATAATTTTATGAACTAATAATTGCCTGGGAGCTTTTTCGTCGATCTTTGAACCCATATATTATCGGATTCGGAGCGACTCCGGAAACGGAACGAAGTGAAGATTTTCCGTTTCTTTGGACTCCCAATAATGAATGAGGCAGGTACAACATAACCTGAACTTTAATCTTCAAAAAAACTTTTTTTTTGGTGAAACCCGAAAGAAAAATGAAAATGAAGTAGAAGACTATAAAGAGGGGCCACCAAAAATTGTCGTTGGTGGAAATAATCGACATGAGAATCATAAACAGGTCGATGAATATCAGAAGCTGAAATATTGGCTCAGAATAGTTTAGAATTCGGCTTGAACCCACGATAGAATAGATGGCAATGGGGAGGGCCTGCAGGACGATCGTCGTGTGACTTTTGTTCTTGGCCGCCGACGTCGTCATCGTCGACTTTTCCCGGTTTACGCTCCAGAGTATCAGAGTGTAGCCGGAGACGGTGAATGTTATCATGAACACCTTGACGAAAACCCCGACCTGAAAAATTGAGATTTTGCCGAGCTGGAAAAAAAAAGCCACTCGAAAGGCCGGGGAAAGTGTGCTCCATGGCGAATTTCGAATTTTTCTAGCCTTTTCTCTTCTTTTTTGATTGAGAGCTTTTAAAATATATTTTTGATTGTATTGAAAGTTTATATTGCTGAATACTTGAAAAGTTTTGAAATGATTTTTTTCATGCGAGAAAAAAATTCAGCAATTCACCTCTCGATTGAAAAAATCATCTTTCCAAAGTTCTTCAAGCATTTTTTAATTATAAAATTTTTAAGATATCAAAAATATATTTTGTAAGTCCTAACCCAAAAGCGAAGAGAAAAAGCTGAAAAAAAGTTCAATTCGCCATGGAGCAAACTTTCCCCGGACACATTCCGGCCTTTTTTCTGAAATTGTGAATCTAGCATACTTCAAAACTAAGGAAAACTCCGATAAAGTTGAGAAATATAAGTTTTGAGAACTGATAACTTTTATTATCCGTGGAGCGCACTTTCTCCGGTCTCGAGGCTATTTTTTTTTCTTCTTTTTTCCGTTATTTTAGAATCTTCTGTAACTTATAGGCTTTCTCTTTTGCATTATTTTGACCAGCCAGTTTCAAAATTCAATTTTTTGGAGTTTTCTGAGAGATTACGGATTTCTCACCATGTATGGAAAGTCAATGCGGGAAAAATTATCATCCGAAGTCGAAATTTCATCCGATGTATTGAGGACCATCATTATGGAGAGAGAAGATTGTGGAATCGAGATTAGGATTGAGATGGCTAGGGGCCTGAAAGACGATGAATTTCTTTATTATAAGGCATACTTTTTAATTAAAAATGAGTTTCAAAGTCATTTTGTAGAGCCACGAAATTGTACAAAAACTTTTGGTTTTGGAGAAAATTTATTCGAAAGAGAACGATTCGGGCATCGGTAGGAAAGCGGGCGCCCCCCAGGCGTTTTTGAGTAACTCTAGGGATCACTTGGGGGTTCCCACGCCGCTTAAGTGGTCACTAAAAATGCTCAAAGACATGTCGAGTACACATATCATTGGCATTAAAGTGCAGTTTCAGATGATTTCAAACAAAACCGTTTTTGAGAAACTCTAGGGATCACTTAAGAGACGACGCTGAAGTGGTCACTAGAAACCCTCAGAAACATCCCAAGCGAGTTCGGTTTGCCTTATCAAGGTGATGAAGGTTCAGTTCAGCGCATTTTGAAGCAAAGTTGCTCTATGGACAAAATCCATTTTCATTTTTTTTTTTTGATGATTTTTCTTCATTTTTCATTTTTTCTAATTTTCGAATTTCGCAGTCGTCATTATTGCTTTCAAAACTGTAAGAATTAGTTTTTTATGAAATTTCTAATTTTTTGAATTTTGGATTACGGTAGGCAACACTGTGTACACAGTCACCTTAAAACACGTTCAAAATTGAGTTTTAAAGTGAAAAATACGGATTTTTTATCATTACAAGTACAGACAAGCTCAGTGGTCCCTTTAGTGGTTTTTCAATTTTTTTTTTTCTAAGAAAAAGGCGTATAGAATTCAATAGAATGCACCTTATAGTGGTCATTAAGTAAGATCCCTTAAGAGGCCATTAAGTGGCCAAGATAAGCTTTTGGTTTAAGCTTCAACTGTAAATTTTTGACAGAATATTTTCTAGGTACTTTTTTGAGATTATTTTTTGCTCATTCCTAGGAGCATTTATTACAGAAATTTGGACCAGATGCTCAAAAAAATGGCTGAAAAAAAAAACGGACCACTTGAAGTTCCTACAAAACCAAGGAAGAATCTGATAGAAGCTGAAAAGTCGGTGTAAACATAAGACGGCGTCGATGAAAACGAGGATATGGGGACAACTAAAAGCGAATAAAAGATAGAGACCCATATATGGACTATTTTCGAAAATCTCCGAGAAATATGAATCTCCGAGCATGAAAAGCGGCCCCGTGACTCCGCACAGTGTAACCAGTTCCATCCAGGGAACAGCGATGTAATAATCGAACTTAAACATTTTAAATTCACACTATTTCCGGATTAAAAGAACCTTCTTGTCCTCATTATAGCATCTCACTAGGATGACTATGAAAATCGCGTGGACTGTGACAAAAAATAAAAGTTGGAAAATGATAAAATAAGCGATAAATAAGCCGGTAGCCGTGGCCAATAAGTCCATATTTTATAAAATTCAAACTTTTTCCGGACTGACATTTCAACGAAAGTTGCTCATGATTACAGGGTTACTGCAAATAATTACAGGGCCTTCGGAGTTTGGAAAATAATCAGAGGGCTCCGAAATCCTGAGTTTTCCAGCGAGATTTGAGATTAGAGGCTACAAAGCCAGGTCAATTATGAGGTTTAAAAACTTGCATTTTGAATGACGTCCTTGGAAATCAGTAAAAATCTGTGTTACTTGAGAATTTTTGAATTCGCACCAAAGTGAAGGTTTAAAAGAACTCCTACCGTAATCTAGATTTTTTTTAAAGATTATTCCGAGCTAAAAAAATTTTTTAAAGAGTTTTTGAGTTTCTTGAAAAATTTTATAAATTTTTGAGAATTTTTCGGAACATGGAAAAGTTCATCATGTAAAAAATCATCACTGAAATATATAATTTTCATGGTTTTCAGTTGAAAATTAGCAATTTTTAAAACTCATTTCGTTGGAATAAAATTTAAATTCCTTTCAACTCTTTGCAGTGAATTTTTTAAAGGACGTAGTTTTTCCTGACAAAAAAATTCAAAAAAATTGAGCAAAAAAATTATTGAAAAAAATTTTTCAAATTTTTCTTCAAAACGAAGAAAAAAATTCCATTCTCAGAAAAAAACGATGGAAATGCTGAAAGCTTTGGAATTTTTTTCAACCTTTTGGAAAATAAATTTTTTTGAGGAAGTCATATTTTTTTCAAACTTTCAAATCAAAAAGCTGTACTTATTTCGTTTTTGAAAGTTTAAAAAAATATCTATTATTTCATCAATGATATATTCGAGAACTTCTTCGGGCTCAATTTATCCTGAAAGTGACTTATCTTTTCAAATTTTCTTTGTTGAATTGATGGTTTTCCCGTTTGAAAAGATGAAAATTCATATTTTCTAGCCTTTTTATGGATGTAAAGAAGAATTTTTTCACAGAAATCCTTTTTTTTTCTTTTTTTCTATACTGAAAACTGTACCTTTCTCATGTGACCTTATTTACGAAATTTTTCTTCCTAATTCAAAAGTCTATCATCATCGAAAACTGTACTTTTTAGCCATTTTGAAGGAGGTCAGTCTGAATTTTACGAGTTCCTCCTCCTTAAATCTCAAAATTTTTGGAATGTCAGACGGAAAGCTGTACATTTTTTTCGGCTTCAAATTCTCGAGTTTTTCTGAATCAAATTTCTCCACTTTATATTTTTTTAGTTCAACCTCTCTGTACCAAGTTTTTTTCAAAGCTTCATCTTTAATTTTTAACAATTTCTAATAATTTTTCGTTTGAGAAGTTCGAATCTTCAAGCTTTTATAAGGAATCTCAAGAGGGGTTTTCAAGCCAGTTTGGAGGATCCAAAGAAGAAATTTCCAAGGGGATTCCATTCTTTATCATTTTCTAGACAGGGAACTGTACTTTCCTCACGTGCCGTAAACATTTACAATTTTTCCAATTTCTGACTGAATTTCAAAACTTTTCTTATCAAAATTTTTATTCTTTCTAGTGATTTTCGCTTGTATTTCCCGAGTTCCTCTTTTTTTTATCTTAAAAATCACGGAAAAAGTCATTTTTTCGAAGTTTCAGGCAGGCATTTTTCGACTTACAGGGAAGGTAATTTTACTTTGCGGTTGGGATTTTCTTGAAAACTGGCCAGAACACTCCTTGATGTATGAATTGAAGATCCTGAAAGTCTCAACCTGCACAATTTCCTAGTTTTCGAGAAATAATGGCCCAAAATAGCCCATTTTTATGGATTTTGGCGGTTTCCTTTGAGGCGTCTTTTCTCAAAAACTAGGAAGTTTTGCAGGTTGAGAAGTTCAGAAACGTCTTCTGGTACATCAAGGAACGTTCTGGGGAAGTTTCAGGAAGATCTAAACCCCAAAGTGAAATGAACTTTCTTGTAAGAGCCTTTTTAGAGAATCTCTTGACATTTTTTTTGAGGAAACCTCATTTTTTTGCCCTTTTCCATACAGGAAAGTGTACCTTCCTCACGTGGCCCTATTCATAACCTTTTTGAAAATTCCAAATTTAGACCTTCTTATTATAAGAATCCTAGATTTCTCCTTCTGTTTTCATAACAATCTCCTTCAAAAGTCGTCACGCGTTTCCGTCCGCACTTTATCAAGTGCCGGGGGTGATCGATTCGCAATGACACATCTTGAAAGATCGGTCTATTTTTGGAAAACCACCGTGTCTGTTGGGATAGAACAGGAATTTCGATCGGAAGTAACCGGGAAAAAAGAAAAAAAATGAAATCTTCAGGCGTGGCGTGGGCGCGTCAGTTTTCCCCCGAAGATGCGCTCCTCCTGGTCTTCCGCCACGTCGACCTATTCCGAATACACGTCCGACGATGATTCCTCGACGAGGTTGGCATTTGAAATGGGCTTTGATCTTTTATTTGAAGAGAGCTGTTCACGTCGATTCGAAAAGTATAAGTTTCATGTAATAAGGAACGCCAGAGTGGTCCCTATAGGGGTTAGGGGAAAAGTGCCTCTTATAGGAGATATAAAAGGGGTCCCTTTTAGGGGTTTAGGGTCTGACCTCTAAGGCTCGTAAGCTCAAGTAGTCCCTATGGGGGTCTTTTAATTTTTGCTCTTATTTGGAAGATAAAATAACATGTTAATGAAAACTGATCGATTAATAAACCTTTGTGAATGTCTAGTCATTCAAATAGCGACAAGTACTCCCCTAAAGTGGCTACTAAACAAAATCCTTCTAGTGGCCTCTTTTGCAAGCTTTAGTGCTCCCTATAGGGGAGGGAGTTGGTGAAGTGGTCCCTAGAGGGGAGCCTTTGAGAGTCTATAAGTTTCTCCTCAAGGGGCCACTTTTCGAGCTCTCGTTTTTTCAATGAAATGATTTTTCGTATCTTGTTCAATAGATCTTTTCACGTCAAGTCGAAAAAAATATGAGTATAATTTATTAAAAAAGGATTTACTTCGGTATAAATGAGTTTAAAGATTTTTAAATTTCTTTTTTTCGAGAATATTATCTTTGTCGGTTTTTCTTTATCCGCTTCGATATCATCGTGATTTGAAAAATCTAATTTTGGTTACAAAAAGTCGAAAAAAGTTAGAAGCTAGGCTTCATTCATAATTTTGAACACCGCATTTTTTACCAGATTTTTTTTAAGACAATTTCCATCTTGTTTGATAGATTTTAAGCGGATTCCTTTATTTTTAACTTATAATTTGTGAAAGAAAAAGGTTCTTGAGAAATAATTCGATTTTGGGTAAGATCCTTATATGAAAAAAACTTATTTATACGAATTCTTTGTTTTTTTTTCACAGTATTCCAAATACTCGAGCTAGAATTATAATTAACTCTTCAAAAAAACGCTTTCTGGGAAAGATTTCTCACATCTTGTCTGAAAGATTTTTCCCATGCTGGTTCTAGGAATATAGGTTTGTTTTAATTAAAGTTCCTGGGTGTTGAAAAAAACGTGACTTTTCCCCAAAAAAACCTCTTTCTTTTGTCTTTTTAGGTGATAAAATTCATGTTTCTTTATATTTTTTTGTGAAGAATCGGAAAAAAATAGTATTTTTAAAAATGTTA